TTAATGATATTTATTATTAATGTCACGAAAATTGTTATAGGCTACTTATTGCCTATCAAATATTGGGTCAAATAAAGGCAATAAATCACTTTTATAAAGGTTTACTAATACTATAGTTAACTCTGGATTCAAGAATTAGCTTTTCATTACAGCAACTACAAAGGAGAATTTAATTAGTTACTTAATGAGTTACTTTAATTGAAGAAAAATATTAATTCAATAATTAAGAGCTTGCAATATAATGGAATATTAATATTGTTAAATGCATTTTAAGAATTCAAAAATATCATTTGTTTTCGTGTTATTTATTAATAAATAATTTATTCCAATTGCCCTAACCCCAGCAAAACATTTATGGGGGACTGTGTGGGCCAGATGGGCTGAATTTTAGCACCAGATTTAAACTAAACCCCTTAAGGGAGCTGTATATGCTCAAAAGTTGTTGCTGCTTCTGGAAACCTGTTTGCTTTGGCTTCATATATCTGGTGTTATTGTATTTATTCTTTTAATGTGTTGTAGCCTGGAATATTTAGTGTGCATAATCATTGTATCTCTGTGTGTTGGAGATTTGATAAAAAAAAAAAATATTTCTGTGGTAGAAAATGTTGTGGCACCAAGATAGGCTACTATGAAGGGGCCCTTGGGTTTGCTATAGCCCCAGGGCCCTATCCGGGCCTGGACACTGGTCATCTTTTGAAATGAAAATTTACATATTTACAAAAACTACCTCACTAATCTGAAAATAATCTTTAACTTTAGCTGCTCCTAAATGAAATGTAATGAAACGCATATAAGAGGTGCAATTAGAGAATTGAGATGTCCTACAAGATGGCTGAGCTCGATCGGTCTTTCATGTCTTAACAGTTGAACAATTTTCATGTCTTAACAGTTGAATATTCTGTTTGATCTGCTGCAATGACATCCTGCAAGGAAACATCACATTCAAAAATAAAATCGAGTAGGTTCAAACACACTGAATTATAAAAGTGAAGGACAGAAAAATTTAAAACAGCAGCTCTATTTCCCACAGTTGAGCAGAATAAGTGAAGAAAACCTTTCAGCGTCATTACATCAGAGAGCAACAGAGCAGTGTGATAGCATATTCACAGACACATACACAACAGACTTCAGGTATTTAAAGAAGCTGAGGGTGTTTACACATGCACAGGCAGAGTTCACACAGAAATACAATATATCTTACCATACTCTTAACCCGATATGCACAGAATGTTGTATCAGCATAAAGTATCTCTTCCTCTTGAGCCTTAACTGTTTTAATAATAATCACACATTTAATAAACCTAACTACATTTAATATACTTTTTTTATTATATATATTTTGCATGTCAATACTTGCCTTCTTTTTCCGATTGTTTACACTTTCTGTGGCAGTACATCAAACCTACAACTGCAACAATGAACACCAGCAGGAGCGCTATAACAACTATTGAAGTGTTGAGACGTGAACCCTCTTCCCATTCTGTAATGCACAGAAAAGAGCCAATAGTGTAATCTTAATAGTTTAATCTTTAAAAAAATAAATCATTATGGTGATGGAATCTGTCATTGAACATATTACATTTTACCTAAGCATGTATTCAAATAAAGTACTTGAATATTTTGATATTCGAATTCTGTCACAACATGTCTGATATTCTGCAGTGTTTACAATCATTAAAGAAATTATTTGATGAACTCTTTTTTTTTTTAATTTGTTAAAGTATTTCCTTTTGAAACAGGATTTTGTGTGGGACAAAAGGCATGTCATTTTTTTTTTTAACTGCCAACAGGCTTTCATTTAAGACAAATGTCACACCTTGATTGGCTAGCTAGACAAACATTTGTATATGATAATATCTGCTAACAATGAACTGTCAATATGTAAATAACATTACAGATGAGCGAACACCTCAAAACACATAGACAAGGACTAAATATTTCAATAAACACCATTTTTTATTCATTTAACACAATTAGAGGAAAAGAGATAATGTGATACCTGAACATGGCTGACAGAGATCAGTGTTGTTGAGATGCGTAGTCCTGTTAGTGAATGAATAAGCCACAACACAGCTGTAGGAATCATCCAGACACTCAATCTCCAGAGATAGAGAGAGACTGATGCTGAGATCAGACACACTGATGCTGGACAATAAACTGTTTCCTTTGTACCAGGAGAGAGTCACATCACTCACATTCAACACTGAACACAGCAGTGAACAATTCTGACTTGATGATGGTGATGTAGATGAACAGTTTGAAGAGTTACTGGTGATGACAGGAACAGGCAGAAGAGCTGAAAAACATTAAAAAAAAGTTGTTCAGCAAGAACAATTAAACATAAAAACTCTGCCTTTGCTATACCATATTTGTGTTTTTTTTTTTTTTTTACTTTGATTCTGATGCTTTCAAAATGTAACAGACTGGTGATGATGTCCGTTTGTTTATTTCCTTAACGCCATTCCGGCATCTCTTACCACATTCATGGCGAGAACCAATTAATCCATACACAAGTCGATCCATACACAAGTCTTGTCTTTACACACTCGTCCGGGGACAATTTAGAATCTTCAATTGACCTAACCTGCATGTCTTTGGGCTGTGGGAGGAAACTCCACACAGAAAGGCCTCCTGTCCCTGCCTGCGCTAGAACCAGGGATGATGTCAGTTATATTTGCATACTAAATTGACTTTTCATTCTTACACCAATTTATCCATCTAAACTGTAATGAATACATTTTCTTTCTCTTTCTAAATGTGGCTTTGCAGCTTTGTACGTAAAACTTCAACACTATTGTCTTTCTTCCTTCTATTCATAAGTATTTCCATCAGGAAATATAAAACAATAGCACATTATAAGAGAACTGTCTTGCAAAACAGAGTGTAGAAAAGAAGTTTCACGTACACTTTGGTTTGTCATTAAATGCTTATAAATCACAGATGAATCAGGAGAAAACTGTTTTAATTTTGAGAATCATCACAGTCTGGATCATCATGGGCAGGACACCAATTACTCACCATAGACAGTAACACTGAATCTCTTGTTTGAAGTTCCTCTGTTGTTGATGTTCTGTAGTTTATAAAGTCCAGTGTGTTCAGTTCTGATGTTTCTGATGGTCAGAGATCCAGTTTGATTGTCCATCTGGAGTCTTTTCTCAAATATTGTATTAGTGGCATCTATATAGATGGTCTGTCTGTGGATTTCAGCTATTCGCCTCTCTTGAGGTCCAAACATCCACAGTGTGTGATCATCTCTCTGTACTTTAACATCAGTGTTTAGAGTGACAGAATCTCCCTCCATCACTGATACTGACTTCATTACATCTGTATCACCAAACACACCTGGAGAAAAACAGTTTATATAGCAAATGAAAAACCTGTTTAAGTTCAAACAGAATATTAATGAGGAAGATCCACCAGGACAAATGTTATTGCTCTTAAGGCAAGACACTTCAGGCAAA